GCTGTATGAGTGCAGACCATTTACATAGAATACATATGTATGTTGCTTTGGTCCTCTTAATACCAGCAGCCAGCTCTCCTCCCCAGTTCCTGGGAGTCGCCAGACCTGAAGGCAGCATCCCCGGCCTTCAGCAGGGTGCGGACCTCTGCATTCAGCCAGGGTTTCTGGTTCGGGTAGAACTTCACGCTCCTGGTGGTGGTGGGTACATCATCAACACGCTGATGTACCCGAGGACAGAAGATGTGTATTCCTCCAGATCCAGTTCTCCCTCATTTTCTGTATACCAGTAATTAGAACATGCTACTGGATGCCTCAAATTTTCCACTGGGATTAATGAAGTATCTAGTAGTAAATGAGTCTTCGAGGTTTAATGTGACTTATCTGTTTAAATAAAGTTTGAATTGAAGTGAATTGAAAAAAATCTATCTATCTGTCGGTCCGTCCGTCCATCTATAGATCTATCTTTGAAGCCAGTTTGGTAAAACCTGAAAAATAACATTATACACTCAGAGTATGTGTTGTTAATGACTCTCAGCTACTACCACATAGAGTTTTAGCTTAATATCTGTAAAACTGACAGAAATACCATCATTTCTCTGTTTGCTAAGTTTGTTTGGCTTTAAATGGACTGACTCTAAAAGTTACTCAGTTGAAGATGCTCATTCATTGATAATTTTCCTGACTTTTACTGAAATCTGTTACAGCTGTAGTGAGATATTTTGCTAACAGACAGACATGGCTAATTCTAACAGTCAGTGCCAGAGTTTTGGGCAGAGACATTTTGCAATGAGCAGCATTTTTTATGAGGGGTGGGAAGACTCGGCTACAACTGCACCAAACTTTAGAACATGTCAGTAAAATTCACTAAATTATAGCCCTTATCATGTTTTCTATAAGGTCCGTGGGGGTATGGAGCCATCCATCCAATAATTTGTTTCTAAAAGTTACATTAACATCCATTCAATGGTTCATATGATATTTTGCTAACAAACAGATTTGATTCCAAATCAAAGACTTTGTGCACTCAGAGTAAGTGTTGAGGATCAGTTTCAGCTACTAACAAACCAAACGTTAGGTCAACATCTGTACAAACGACTGGGCTGCAGACGTTTTTGTGTTTGCAAAGGTCAGCTGGCTGCAGCAGCCATCTTGGATCGTGTCGACTCCTACATGAACATTCAATAAATTATGCAGGGAGGGTGTATGGGCTCTGGTCATTTCCTGGCAGAAACACCATGACAGTCTACCTGGAGGGGAAAAGAAGGTCCTGAGCTGCGATTAGTGGTGGACTTGTTAAGAAGTTTAAAACAACTCCTCCTAAATTATATTTAAGGCTGATACATACGGTAATCTGTATTCGATGGAGGCTGCAGTAGCTTGGTCTTGTAATCCTGAGGTTGCGTGTTCGAGCCCAGGTTGCGTCAGGAAGGGCGTGCAGCGTAAAACAATCGCTGAATCTTTCGTGCGAGTTCGCTCGCTGTGGCAACCCCTGAAGAAGTGAGCAGCCGAAAGAAACTTACTGACATAATCTGCATTTGATCATTATTTCCTCATTTCTCCGCCCTGCTGTTGCCTTCGTGCTGCACCCCAGCAGGCTGAAATATAAAACGACACCATCTTCCGCCTCCGGAAACTCTGAACTCGTGAGGCTATTCTCAGAGCGCGCAGGCGGAGCCACGCATGGCAGAAACACAGCACCTGAATTTACAGCAAACATCAGCTAAACAAAGAGTCCTGCACAGCTAAACGTTTCACCTATCCGACTGAAATTTGAGCTTTGGCCACTTCGACATTGTAGGTGAAAGTCGATAGTGTTGAGGAATGGCGACACACACCCACTCACTGACGATATGTTGGCCTTAACCTCCACATGCCGTGCCGTGCCCCTTACCGCCGTCTGACCGTAGTTCTTTCTAAACTTATCTCGCTCTGACACATTAACACGCACAGATACAGTGGAAAGTGGTGAAAACTGGATGAAAGCCAGCACCGATTTGCACTGGTGCCAACGTCCGACCGGCGTTTCCGTTAGCCAATTAAGCTGGAAATGATGCAGCTACTCTATTAATAAGAACTAGATGGAGAGTCACTGCGACGTGGAAGCTACAGCTTCAAGTGAAGGCGCTGAAATGGTTCAGCAGATTGTATCTAGACCGAAGGTCTGCAAGCTTTTAAATCAAAAGAGCCGTTTCCACCCTTCACTTAAACAAAATGTGTCTAGAGCTGCAAAACCTGCTACAATGGTCGTTATCAACTGGTGGCTCACGGGCCACTTCCAATTTGTATGAAGGGTTTTTGTTTTTTCTTTATAAAACAAAAATGATATTATGAATTTTAACATTCATGAATGTTTTTACATTTTAGGGCTAAAGAAAAGACCACATTCATGTACACAAAGGGGGGAATACATATTCCATGACAACTGTACAAAAAAAATTAACACTGAACTCTACAGGTTCATGTGAGTCTTCCTTTAATTTTAGAAAAATAAAAATTATTATGTATCCTACTTTAAAGTAATAAAGCATAAATTTAAAGTAAATCTACATTAAATAGTAGGTCATTTTGTTGGATATGTAAATGTGACTTGTTAAAATATTAATTTAAAAACAAAGTAACTTTAACTTTAATTAGGCCTGTCTAATAATTATTCACCACATTTCTTCTAGGTCATAGTCCTAAAGGTACTCCAAGGACTTTCTGGTGAACGTCAGGGAAAGATCCCGCTGCAAAGCTGGACGTTGGATAATTGAAGTAGCTCAAACTTGTTTTGATAATTTATTTTAAATATTTGCAGAAAAACTGCTAAGACTCGTCATTTTTCTTTACTGTGGGTATAAAAACCAATGACTTTACATTTTGCATCATGTTTGGTCAAAGCTTCAAGGAGCCGCAGACCAAGGACCAAAGAGCCGCAGGTTGCAGACCCCTGATATAGACTCTGTGCTGAAATACACTTACAGATGTACTTTTTAAAAATCCAACCTAAAGCTTTATGAAATAATATTTGAAAATCAGACATCTTTTTTTAGCATTTGCGTAAACATTTGTAACAGAACTTTGCACAGACATACAAACATGCACAGGCTTGCAGGAAAGCTGCAAACAGCAGGCGGCACCTGCTTTACAGAGTAATTTATTGGGGTTCAGTGACTATGATTGGATTTCTGTGAGATGCCATCGGTGTAACCTGCTCTCACTGAGCGAAGGCCGTGCGCCTGCTAATACACATCCAGACGTCCTCGCGTCCACAACTGCAAACATTTTAAGGAAACAATTCAATTCAGTTTATTTATATAGTGCCAAGTCACAAGAGAAGTCATCTCAGGGCACTGAA